AGATCTCCCCTCCTTCCGCCGTGCCCTCAAGACATGGCTTTTCCATCAAGCGGGATTGGCCTAGGGGGGGGATTGTATAGGGATTTTAATAGGGATTTTATAACTTTTCTAAAAATAACAGGCTTATTTAATATATATTTTAATTGTTTTTAGATATTTATTGTATAGTTCCGTTTTTATTGCCTGTAAGCCGCCCCGAGTCCTTCGGGAGAAGGGCGGGATATAAATTAAAGTAATAATAATAATAATAATAATTGTTTGCTGTTGGGCATTTTTGCTAAAAACTGGAAGGAAATGCAGTTTCCACATAGGTGCATCACAAACATGCCTTCAGGACCAAAATGCAATGAAAATTTGTTCTGAACGGTCTGAAAAGGGCCCAACTATTACAAACATTACCGTTTTTAGAGTCACACACTGCACTATGCAGTGATTTATTTAGTTGTGATTTATTAAGCAAATTACAACTAGCTGGCTGAGTAACAATACACCGCAAACTATGGTTTATAAAGCCAAAATGACTGCATTCATACCACACAAAATTAGCAAAATTACAAAAACAGCTTTACGGCTTAGTGTGCTGGCAGTTGAACATACACTAGGACTCCATTAGGAATAGAATAAAGTTGCACAAACAGAAGTTATATACATTTAGTCCTCAACTTATGACAACTGGGACCAGAATTATTGTCGACAGTTTGTTAAGTAAGTCATGCCTGATTTTATGATCTTTTTTTTTGCCATGGTCATTAAGAGAAGCACTAGTCATTAAGTGAATCCATGCACTCATTTAAGCAAATCGGGCTTCCACTCTTTGACTCTGCTTGTCAGAAGCCAGCTGGGAGGGTTGCAAATGGCGATCACGTGACCCTGGGACGCTGCCAAGCGCCCACATTTTGATCACGTGATGTGGGGGATGCTGTGCTGGTTCTAAGGGTGAGCACCAATCGTGAGTCATTATTTTTAAGGGCCGTTATGACTTCAAAGGGTCGCCCAACAAAGGATTGCAAGTCAAGGACTGCCAGTAATTAACAAGGTTAACAACTTTTTCTGGTTACCTGTTAACTTACCAGCAAGCCAAAAGTGTTTATGTGCGTTTGTATATTGTGCAACGCTTCGGTGGGGACTCCTCTGAACTTCTTCAGCATTGAACTCCCCACCTCCTTGATGGCCATCGCAAAGGGGACCATCCATTTCACACACTTCTCTATGTCGCTCAGTTGGTATCCTGGGAAAACCAAGAAAGAAAAGTTCCTGCATCTTCTACGCTTTTACTGGAGTTTGATCCTGACCGGCTCAAGGTTGACTCAGCCTTCCATCCTTCCGAGGTCGGTAAAATGAGGACTCACGATTGTTGGGGGTCAATAGGCTGACTCTGTAAACCGCTTAGAGAGGGCTGTAAAGCACTGTGAAGTGGTATATATAAGTTTAAGTGCTATTGTCCTTCCTTCCTTCCTTCCCAAAGTCTAGAATTCGATCTCAAGGTTGTCTCAGCCTTCCATCCTTCCAAGGTCGGTAAAATGAGGACCCAGATTGTTGGGGGTCAATATGCTGACTCTGTAAACCCCTTAGAGAGGGCTGTAAAGCACTGTGAAGTGATATATATATAAGTCTAAGTGCTATTGTCCTTCCTTCCTTCCTTCCTTCCGGTTAGAAAGCAGTATTGCAGGCTAATTCTGCCCACAGTCTAGAATTCGATCTCAAGGTTGACTCAGCCTTCCATCCTTCCGAGGTCAGTAAAATGAGGACCCCAAATTGTGCTGTAAAGCACCGTGAAGCGGTATATACAAGTCTAAGTGCTAGTGCTATTGCTACTTCCCAGTCCTAAACTGACATAATCTTACCCAAAGCCTTACCCGAAACCCGCTGCATCAAGTCGCGAGAGGAGAAGTGATACAACGCCGAAGCCGCCAGGACACCGTACGTGTATTCCAAACAGCCCACATCGAGGACGCACAGATCCAAAAGCTGACAAAAGAAGAACATAAATGATCAGAAGACCGTTCTCAGGCTGATCAAGAGAGGAAACATCTTGCAGTAGATTCTATCATTACCTCTGCTACTTGCACGAATATCTCTTGAGAATATTGTGGCAGCAGCATCTCACAGATCTCGCTTAGATATGCAACCTGCATGTATATGTTTAGCCAAGACACGATTGTCAGGGGACTCAGATTCCAATTGAGCGCCTGGAAGAAGAAGAAAAGATATACTAGGACAAGGTGGACATGCTCTACATCAGGGGTGTCAAACTCGCAACGTCACGTGACGTGTCGCGACATATTGTGACTTTTTTCCCCATTGCTGGCAATGTTTCGGCATGACACATCCAGCCCATGGGCTGGCAGTTTGACACCCCTGCTCTACATCTTCACAAAGAAAAGCTGAAGTGGGGTTAATTCAGACTATCTAAAGCTGCAAAGGGTCCTATTCCAGGCAGACTATAAAGCTCTTTCATGGAGATGCAACGTACTATCTATTAGGCTCCTAAAGAGCCCATTCACCCATCTGGACATCTCCCTATGCATCAGAATGTGCAGTTGGCTATTCCTGATTCCACGTCTTGATGTGTCATGCCTCCCTCGGAGCCTGAATCTGCAGAGGGAAATGAGCTGGAATGGGCCCTATGGAGGTCGAGGGAGAGGTGTCTGTGCCTTCAGAGGAATGTGGGGAAGAGCAGGCCGAGGCAGGCCAGGGCCCTTCAGGAGTGGGACAGGAGGAACATGAGAGACAATGCTCAGGCGATGAGCAAGGGCCATCCCCACCTGATCCTAGAGCATGGAGTGGAGCGAAGGAGGGAACAACACAGGCAGACTCAACTATTCGGGAGGAGAGCGCACCGCCCCTTTCCACAAGACACACCTGAAGACTGAGACTTAAGGAGATGCTGTGGGGAGAGGCATTTGTTGGGAACAAACACTGATTTCTTGGAGTTTTGTGTGCTGTTGCTGATCTTGGAAACAACTCTCTGATCTCTTGTTCGGTGTTGTGATTTCTGCTTGGAAACCCTGAAACTCTGACCATTGGACTGGCTGACAAAACTTGATTTGTTTTTCAAAGACCTCGGACTGTATTTTGGCTTCTCTTCTGAAACTGCTCAGGCAAGCTTGTATTTCCACAGACTGGTTAGATTTTGGATGTATGTTTCATCCCTTGTTATCTACGTGGCCTTGAGTAAATTACTCTTCTAATCTAACTGTATGTGAAACTACTTGCAGCCAGAGGCTGATGAAGGTGTGGGTGTGTGTCTTACTTTGTTCTGGGGCTTGCCAGAAACGTGGGAGCATTTGGGGAAAATTTGGAGTTTGAATTGCCAGCTGACTGCATTGCCTCTCTGCTGTGCCCTGGGTCATCACATGATGGAACATCTACTGCAAGGGTGTCCAACCTTAGTAACTTTAAAGACCTGTGGGCTTCAACTTCAGCATGCTGGAGGGGAAGATCTGGGAACTGAAGTCCCCAAGTCTTAAGAGTTGCTAAGGTTGGACACCCCAGTCTACTGGAAAGCACGCAGGTTCATTTTTTGAGCTCAGATGCAGCGAAGCACTGAACTCTTGAAATCAAGGCAAAAGCTGACAATACTTTAAAGTGGAATGTGCACTTATATAACGATGGAATCTGGAGAGGCAACCATTAACTCCTTGGAGTAAGAGTGAGTTTTCTCATTCTTTCTATGTTACAGGATAAAACTTTTACAAACGAATCATCATCTTTGCACAGTTGCACCGACGCTGACAGGGCAAGTCACTAGTATATAAAAATAAGGCCACACCCCACTCCCATCTACCACTGATGAAGTTACCTAGTTTGGTAATGAAACATCTGCAAGAAAGCAACCAAGCTCAGAGGGCACCAAGGACCCCACAGTTCAACCTGAGCTACCCATATCCTACTGGGACGATTGATTTTCTTCCGTTCCTTCCAAAGAACGCACAGAGTCATACCTTCATAATAATGAGTTCCATGCTAATAATTTCTTCTTGTGTGCAAGCACCATCAGTAACATAGGCAAACTGGTGAAGCTTCGGTGGGTAGATCTCCTGCAAGAGAGAAGAGAATCAACACACTGGCCTATTCCGTTCTCTGAAAAGATGGCAAGCTGGCAAAGCCAGATGGTTATCCCACATGGATTTACATTTTGGATAATGAAACGATTTTAACATTAAGGGGAGTTTTTTTTCCTGAGCCTTCATCGATATTAAAGCCAACTATAACTACAAATAACACAGAATAGCAGCTTTATATAACTTGGATCTCATCAAATACAAAAACATCTTAATGCAGCCAAGATACAGCATTTTTTTGCTAAACGAGCCATCAAATCAAAACAGCACTGCTCTTTTCTCAAAACTTCTTCGACTGATGTTCTACTTTTTCTTCTCCTTGAGGAATTCTGGGAGTTGGAAGCACCCACACTTTATAACGTTGCCAATTTGAAAAACGCTGCTCTGTGGCACAGCTCAAGCTCTGTGGAGCAAGATTTTACCTCAAGTTTAGCAGCTATAAATAACGACGATATCCCAATCAGCTGGAGGAGGGTCTTTACAATGTTCTTTTGTGTTGCCATGAAGCGATCGATGAAATCCTGAGCTAAATAAAATGTCTCTCTTTGAAGTCTGTGGACCTCACAAACCTGCAACATATAAATGAACAATATTCCTTTCCATTAACATCACTCTGCAATTGTTAGAAATCCACAGGAATGCCTGTTAAAAGCACCAAATTAGATCTACATTTGCCTTATCCATAACACAAATACATTCTTGTAATTCAACAGCTACTTATTCTTTGCAGTAAAGTTGTTTGCTGATATTTTTCAGAATTAAATAAAGTAGTACAGGTAGTCCTTGCTTAGCGGCCACAGTTGGGACCGGTAACTCTGTCACCAAGCATCACAGCCGTTAAAGAGAAAAAAAATATTGTCTGCAACTTGTGATTTTAATTCTCTGTTTCTCCATTAATTCTGCCTGTTGCAAGCCGGTTGGGAAGGATGCAAATAGTGACCACAGGATGCCACAACAGTCATCAGTGTAAGGATTGATCACGAAGTGGTAACTCTGAATGGTTGCTAAACAAGGCAGTCACTAACTGTAGGCCACCTGTATTGCAACAATTTTGTGTACACATAACCATGTGGACCATATCAGCATGTGATGCTGAGGTGTTCCCTGCCCCATAAGGCAGCTGGCAAGAGCCAAAAGTGGGGTGAAACATAGATTTATTCTTGGAGAAATAATAAATTTTTATGGGTTTTTGTTTTGTTTTTTTTGCAACGGCAGTAAGACCATCAAAAATCTTATTCCAACTTTTTATTTCCTTTGGCACCTAACCATGAGATCAGGGTTCCTCAAAATGGCCAATATCGGACCCAATGGGACTATCCAAGGAGTTGAGGGTCAATAAATGATGGAAGGTCAATTGGGGTCAATTAATCTTTGGGGGACTCTGCAGAGCTCCAGACCAGTCCCAAGTCCTGAAGTGGCTACTGGCAAGACAGTATTAACCAGAGGTGGAAATGGTCAGTGACCAGCAAAAGCAGCCTTTGAGTTCTCTATGTTATTACTGATAATATGATCATTTATAACAGGGATGTCCAACTTTGGACACTTTTAAGACTTGTGGACTTCAACTTCCAGAATTCCCATGGCTGGTAGGGAATTCTTGGCACTGAAGTTCTCAGGTCTTAAAATGGTCAAGGTTGGAAATGCCTGATTTACAATGTTATTAGTTTCGTAAAATAAATGTCTGTGAATCAATGAACAACCTCAAACTTCATAAAAGGGTTGATCAGTTGAAGAGTTTGAAGACCCCTCCACTAGATGCACCTTTCAAACTAAGAGGAACAAAAACAAGGTAGCAAGCCCCATAAATAAAACTCTAATGAAAGAAGGGCAGAGCTTGAAAATAGCCCAAGATAGACCATTAAATCAGTCTTGTATGAATCCTTGTTTCAGACATGAGCTTACCTCCATTAGCCAATCTAGGAGAATTACTCGCATTTTAGGTTCCAAGAGCGGATGCTTTTCCATATAAAGTTTATCTCTTGCGTACTTCTGTTCCTTACTGAGCATATTTTGCCATACTTCATCTCTATTCGCCCAACTATCAAAAGAAAAAACATTAAAACAGAGCTGGATTAAACTTCCCACCATTTCTGAATCTCCCTTTTAGCACCTCATAGAAATTTGAGACTCTGCAACCGATTGCTGAATGGAAGCAAAATTTGCCATGGGATTTTCGGAGGCAAACAAAGCCATTTACAAGCCACCTAATAGGCTTAAGGTAACTAAAAGCTTACGATCCCCCAAACATCCTTCTGAAAATTTACTTCCTGCTCACTCTAATAAGGCCACCCCAAAATCAAAAGTAAAAAATTCTGCTTCTCATCACCTGAATTAAGCCATTTAATAACTAACAAGAAAAAAACACAGCAGATACCAAAATGGTGAAAAATTTACCCCAAAACAGGCAACGGTGTCTCCCTAGCCGAAACAAGCTTTTGATGTTTAGAATTTGCAAAGTTTGCATTCTCAAGTTCTTCATCTTTCTCTGGTGTAGGGATCAGCAAGTGTGAATAAGGACACGGAGCATAATTTGACTACGGAAAGAAAAGCAACAGCACAGAGTCAAAGTTCAAAGTTCCAAAGAAGTTTACTGAACTACAGATTCATTTTCTAACAATTACAAGTTCCAACAAATTGACAAGTTAAAAAAAGATTAGGTTTTCCCCCTGCCCCCCTCCATACTCTATAACTGTTTCTCCAACATGTTTAATAATAGGGGCTTTATTCTTCTTCTTATGTTCCCTTCTCAAAAACTCTGGTGACTTCAAGAGAATGGTTAACGGTAAACAGGTTTTTTTGCTTTAGAATCTCATCCATTTATTTTGCATCTGATAGCAAAACTCCATAGTGATGGAGAGATAATCAAGATACAGAGGAATTCAAGTGGGAAGAAACATGGAAATTCCAAACTGATATTTCTGTATATATATATTTTTGTGGTAAATAACCTTTGAAAGAGTAAGAAGCAATCTGTCCTTCTCTTTCTTTTTTCTTAAAGATAAATTCCCACTCAATGCATGCACAAGCCAGACATAAAATATAACAATTTAACTATCTCAAGATTATAGTATTGCTGTGTACCAAAGAAATTGCAGGTGCTGACTGTAATCCAGCATCCAAGCTTATTTTTACGTTCTGAAAATACATGCTCTGGATGCATTGTGCAATACTAGCATGCCAAAGAGAAAAGGACTTACGTTAACTCTTGCAAAGAATTTAAGTGCAAACAAACCAACCAGATGCCTTTGTGAACCCAGTGAAACACAACAGAAGCCCCTGATCATTTTAAGCTGTAAATTAACAAACCTTGCATTTCAGTCTGGAATTCAGATGTGTTATTCTATCTACATTCTTCCCAATTTTTTTGCAGGATCTGTCAGGAATGCCTACAGAGAGCTGCAAGCTATCTAAACTTCGTCTTCGCAAGCATTACAAGGTAATCAGGATGACACACAGTGACTGCAAGGCACTTTCAAGTGTAGCAAAAGATGCCATATAATCTTTAACAGTTGCAAGGTTAGTGCGTTCCATGAAAATCCTGGCTTTGTACAAGTTGTGTTTTGGAAAACTGGCTGGTGAGGTGCATCTGTTTAAACTTTTATCCTCGCTGAACACTGAAGGAAAACGGAAGGTCTAAAAATGATAAAAGCCATCTTTATAATCGCCACATATTATCTAACTATTTTGCAAGCACAGAAAACGTCTGCTCTGCTTGATACATGTTAGCATCATTACAAAGGCACATATTTGAAGGAAGCTGTCCGTAAAACATTGCAGCAAATACAGATCTGCTAGAATCTCCGAAGAGCTAGGCTGCCCAAATAGCACTATTTTTAAAATACATGTTCCTTATACATATACTGTACATACATACTTACACATTACCTTTTTTAAGGAGAGATGATCAATCTGTGTCTCAGTATTGAAATATTGAGATATACCACAATATGTAATACTAAGACACAAGTTGATTATATCCACTGAAACAAGGATGCCTGATTTATGAGTAGCAAAATGGGCCAGACAGAGGAAAGGAACAGATGAAAATATCTAACCACCTCTTTTTAGGCAGAATTAAATCCATATTTAGTTGACGTAGAACAGCAGCAAGTGCTCTTTTCATTTGAGATTCTTGGGTGCTCCACTTATAAAATTCCCGACTAACTATTAATCTGGTCAAATAAGACTAGTTTCAGTTAGGTATTGGTTCTCGTAAAATAACAGATGTCATCATGTACGACGAGGTAAGCACTATCTAAGATCCGTCGAATGTTGGTCGTTTCCTTTTACGCTTAATTTTTGTTAATCCTATTAGATTTGTACAGTTGCGAAACCACCAGATATAAGAAAGACGGTGGATAAAATAATGAACAAAAATATTATTTTGCAGATTGATGCGTAGAAAAAGAATAAGACTTCGTGCCTATGAAGCAACTTGCCATCTATGAAAACTTTGTCATAATATGTCTAGCAGTGTTAAAGTGCTAAAGTTACCTGACTTTCATTTGATTTTCTGCTGGTTGTATTTATACTGGAAGTATCTTCATCTGGATCTTGCAAAAACTGAAAGAAAAGAGTAAATCAAGATTAAGATTTGCAATGTAAATGTAGATTTTATTTTACTTGAACTAAGTCCTTTCAGCTGACTTTGAAACACCACTTGTTATCATAGTTAAAAAGTAGTTACTTCAAGGATCACTACTCTGGCATCCATTGCCTCACCTCAGTTGACTTTCTACTTTCTCTAAGTACAAAAACAAACTCAATAGCCTGCAACAACGACATTAACTGTTAAGAAGTTAATGTTTCCAGACCAGAATCAAATCCTTCACAGAGCAGATCAACATTGGAGATAGGAAAATAGCCCATTTCTATGCCAAGCAAAATGGATGGCCAAGAGGAAAAACTTCAGTTGTGGTGAAACAGTTTTGCTGTACGTTATGTAAACGAGACACAAAAAGATTTCGTCTTCAATCCCCGATATCTCCAGAAATGTTTGGAGAAGACTCTTGTTTGAACTCTACTGATCAGTAAGATCTCTCCCCCCACCCCCAGCCAAGATCCAGGAGAACCTACAGACCTCTAAATACTAATCAGTTAAAACTCCTAGTAGCATTATCTCATCTCCGCAGTAGAATTTTTAAATATTTGGGCTGCAGTGAAATAATTGCCAGGTCAAATAATATCTGATTAGAAACAGGATTTACTTTTATCGTTTTCTGAAGAATTAGAGGCTATTTTTCAGTCAGCGATAGTGTCCATCAGCCCTGCATTCCTCCAGTTGTGTCAGATTACACTGCCACCTTACTCAACTCAGAAGGCCATGTGCTTGTTTTACAACAGAGAACAATCCATTGTTTGTTTATGTTTATGTTTATTTAGATTTGTATACCGCCCTATCTCCCTTACGGGACTCAGGGCGGTGAACAGGCGATAATAAAAATCACAATAAATATCTATTCTAAAATCAAATTAAATAAATAAAGGCCTGCTCTAAAATACCCCATATAAAAACCTGTACTAAAACCTAATTAAGACTACGCCAGGCCGGCCGCACGAAATAGATGGGTTTTCAGGGCTCGGCGAAAAAGGCGCAGGTCCGCAGTTGTACATAGGTCGGGGGGGTAGGTCATTCCAGAGGGCAGGAGCTGCCACAGAGAAGGCTCTCCCCCTGGGGGTCGCCAGCCGGCATTGACTGGCCGACCCGTGGGATTCCTCCGGGAGAGACACCCTCGCCTGACCAGCTTCCCTCCATACACCATCCTCCGCCAGAACGTTTATGGATCCAGGTAACGGTACCTCGCGAAATTTCCAACATACTAACACCTTGAAGCGCACCCGGAAGGCCACAGGCAGCCAGTGCAGCTCACGCAGGAGAGGTGTTACATGGGAGTATCTTGTGATTGGCAACTTACTATTACGACATCAGCTTTTCTTTTCCGGGTTCGAACACCATCACTTTCGGCTGGAAGTTTCCTGTCCCTGCAGTCACTATGAGAGACATTTAGATTACAGCAACACACTCTACATGGGGCTGCCCTTGAAGAGCATTCGGAAGCTACAGCTGGTCCAGAATGTGGCAATAAGCCGTCTTGGGCATTTCTCCTTATGCCCATGCAACATTGCTGCTTTGCAAGCCACACTGGTTCCCAGTAGGCTTACAGCTATAATTCAAGATGCTGGTCATCCCCTGTAAAGCCCTCCAGAGTCAGGTGTGGGACCCCCAGTCTAGTGTTTCTGCCTGTCCCCTTGATCTAGTAGAGCCGGCCTGCTTCAAGTCCCTTCTATTAACCATTGTCCTCTTGTTTGGATTTTCCACTAGGGCCAGATGAATGAGATGGATCTTAGCTTCATTTTATGTCGGTTTCAGCTTATCTTCCAAAACTACTTGTGGGACCATCTTTCTTCTATTGTTTTGGCCCACCCCACCAGGTGTAGTAGAGATGGCACGCTGAGGGTCCCTTCTACTAAACAGTGTAATCTTGTTGGACCCTGGGGTCACGCCTTCTGCCCTCAAAGGGATGCCTGGAGGTTCAGAGGGCCCAACCCTGTTAGCCTTTCTCAAGGTATCGATGATCTGACCATTCCCCCAGGCATTTGGGTTAGGTGTAAATGAGCTCCACTCTACTGATGGTATATAGAGTCAACTGTTCATTCTTAGGGGCCGAGGGGATTATGTCTGGGGGCTGGTTTGTCTGACTCTTGTAAGACACCCAGAATCCTTTTTGTGAGAAGGATGGGTATATAAATGATATAAACAAATAGACCAAACTTAATCATCTCATGCTCAGCATAGTTTGGTGTGGTGGTTAAGATGCTGGCCTAGAAACTAGGAGATGGCGAGTTCTAGTCCTAACTTAGGTATAAAAGCCAACGGGGTGTGTTTGGTTTAATCACTAGGAAATGGGAAGTACTAGTTTCACCTTAGCCATGAAAGCCAGCTGGGGGACTTTGGGCCCATCACTCTCAGCCCAACCCACATCACAGGGTCGTTCTTGTGGGGAAAATAGGAGGAGTATTACTGCCTTGAGTTACTTATTAAAGTAATAAAGGTGGATGCAAATCAAATGAAGCAAGCGGGGAGGAGAGGAAGCCACCACACTTATCAATAAGCTGAATCTTCATTACTGAATCGGAATCAGAAATTTCTTTCTAATTTACTAAGGGGAGCAAAAGGCCTAGTTTCAGAAACCCAAGCTTCAGAAGGGTGAAGCACAGATAAATAAGCAACTCACCTCTCACCAGGCATGGTGGTTTGGAGGAATCAAGATAAGGCCCAGCCAGAAACTGAAAGAAAAAACAATGATTACAGATTGTTTTTCTTCTTCTTCTTCACCAGATCAATTGTAAAAGTATTGCAAGCTATGAGGGCAACTTGATTTTTTTTTTAAAAAAAAAAAAGGGGGGGGGGAGGAGGAAGAGAAAGAACAATTATTTCTAGAAACAAAGATGCAAAGCCAGGATAAGGATTGATTTTTTTTTTTTAAAAAAAGAGACCACTGATGTGATTTTCAGCAGGGCCAGAGGGGGAAAAATATTATATAAATCAACAAGTACTTTTGCCTCCCCTCCTCCTTATTCCTAGTGATCCCAAGGATCATGCAAGCTCACCCACCCTCCAAAGCGGTCCAAATCCCATCTGAACAATTAGGCAACCCAGATAAGCCCCTTCCCCCAAATATGGCTCAGCCACCACTCCCCCAACATGTGCCCGTGGACTGGTGGGGACAGGAAGACCCCCAGCCTTTAGCAGAACCATATAATGGACGTAATAAATAAATGCAATGGTTATAAGGGAAGGGGAGTCTAGGGGCAGGCCCTGCCATCCCCCCCTCTTTAAAGATACCTCTGCATATACTTCCAGAAGCCCCTTCCCCCAAATATGGCTCAGCCACAACTCCACCAACATATGCCCCTGATTGCGGGTGGGTAGGAAGAACCTGCCCCCCCAGCCTTTAGCAGAACCCTATAATCAACATTAAAAAAAATAAAATAAGAGTGGTTATAAGGAGAGGGGGGGCAGGCCAGGCCCTGCCATCCCCTTCCCCTCTTTAAAGATATCTCTGCAAATACCCCCAGAAGCAAATACCCCCATATTTCCCCCAAATATGGCTCAGCCACAAATCCCCAAACATGTGCCCTCGCCTGGATAGGCAGAAACCCCCCCCCTCCCCAATAGGTCAAGCTCCACAACTAATATATAAATGCAATAATTTAAGGGGAGGGCGGCTAGGACAGACCCCTGCAATCCCCCCCCTCTTTAAAGATACCTCTGGCAAGCACTCCCAGAAGCCCCTTCCCCAATTCGCAGGGAGGGAGGGAGGGAGACCCCTTCTGACTGCAGGCGGAGGGCTGCCGGCGTTGGCGGGCGGGCGGGCGGGAGGCAGGAAGGCGGGCTCGTCTGGGCCTGCGTTGGGCGCCTCCTCGCAGCGCGGCGGGTCCCCAGCGCGGCTCGCAGCGCGGCTTTTGGCGCACAGGGCGGGCCCAGGCCCCGAGCGAGGGCATTGACGCCGCGCCCGCAGCTGGCGCGGGTCTCTCCAAAGGGAAGCAGCCCCGAGCGCACCGCCGCCTCTTCCTCCTCCTCCTCCTCTCCGCGCCGGGGCTCCGGCAGGTGGAGGGCGGAGGGGTCCCCATGCAGGTGAGCGCGGGGATCCGGCCCGCACGGCTCCGGAGCTGGGGGGGGGGCGGGCGGAGGGAGCCCCCCCCCGAGAGAGGCGGGGCTTCTGCAGGGGCGGGGCTCGGAGGAGCCAGTGCGCAAAGCCCGGGCTGAGCGCGAAGAGGTGGCGGTGGGGACGCTGTGAGCGCGCGCGCGCGCGTGGGAGCGAGGAAGGGGGGGGCAATCCCCGAAGGTGGGTGGGAGGAAAGTGGGTCCACAGTGGGCGGGGGGGGCAGTCCCGTGGAAGGGGGAAAGAGTTTTTTAGGTTGTTTTTTGGGTTGTTTTTTTTTTTTTTTTGCAAAAGTGCGTCCCAGGGCGCAGACTTTGGAGAGCTCCTGGTTGCGCCCTTGCAAATCTGCAGAGTTTTCAACTGGGCTTAGGAAATGGCACACACACGCACGCACACCCAGCCCATCTGTTGGCGGGAGATGCCAATCACCAGTTAGTTTTAAAATTCAAATGGGTGCTAGACTGTAGTGCATTTTCTGTCCGTGGCTGCTCTTCGTTACATTTATACCTTTCACTCCCCTCAGTTTTTATTCTCTTTAATTTTGTGCGGAGGTACATCCTCCTGAGAAGCTCTGTTCCAAAGGGTTACTTCCTAGTTGGCTGAATCCATAAAATCTGCTGATTATTTTTTGGCGACAAATGACAATTGCTTCTTAGATCAATCGTAATTCCTAACTGGGCGTCAGGCAAGTGGCCAATTCTTGATGGGGCAGGGGGGCAAATCTAGGAAACAAGAGTCCTGGAAAGTGGTAAACCTTGAAAACAAGTTCTGAGCTTGCGCGCAGCACATCGACCCACCCAAGCACATACTCGCACTCCTTCCCCTTGGCATTACTAGAGTATGTAGTAATCTCTTGCAATAGTAGTTCCTTTCAAGGCAGCTGGCTGGGCAGGAGCTGATGTCAATGTGTTTCTCTTCTCTCCAGATGCAGAAGTTCCTGCAGCTTTTCGGGCGACTGAAATCCGTCGTCCTTGGCATGGTCCATGTTCGGGCATTGCCAGGTAAATGCCTTCTGGTCGTTGTTTGTCTTTAAAAGACATAGGAAAAATGGGGAAATTACAAAGAGCGGTGGGAAGGTAGAAGATAGTTTTCCTACTATTCAGCAGACCAATTGATCCACCCGCCCTGGTGGATGTAAAATAAATATCCCATAAATTTATGCCTAACATCTGTCCCAGCCAACCTGGAGTTCAAATTGGGGACTCTGTTTGCAAAGTATGGACAATACCACTGGATCCTTGCATTCTAATTGGACTGTGCCCGTTGGTTTGCCTCAGTTTACCCAACTGCGTTTACAGGGCAAGTCTACCTTGAAACTTGAAACTCCCAAAGCGGTGTCAACTTATATGATCTAGTCTTGAAGGAAAGGAAATTCATAACTATGATGGCCAGTGCTTTGCATTTATTTCTGAAGGCGATCTATATAATGTGAAGTAGCGCTATCCGATTAACTCAGTTCAGTTATACACGGAGTGCCTTGGTGCTGGAGACAAATTCCTTGTGTATCTCCCCACACTTGGGCAAATAAATAAATAAATAAACAAACAAACAAACAAACAAACAATAGTTTTTTTAATGTCAGAGGAAACGATCAGCATACAAGTGACTTAAAGAAGCGGTTAGGCCAGTGATGGCGAACCTTTTAGAGACTGAGTGCCCAAACTGCAACCCAAAACCCACTTATACATCGTCGGGTGCCGAGTGGGTGTGGCCCATTTGGTGGGTGTGGCCCATTGGGTGGGCGTGGCTGCGGTGGTAACGGCAGACTGGGTGGGACTAAAATGTTCAATCAATCAATTCCAACTTTGCAAGATCTTTTTTTTTTCCCACGAGAAGTTGAAATTGACTGATTGAACCTTTCTTTTTTTTGCACACGGCGGCGGAGGCCTAAAGCAAAAAGGTTTTATAAAACCCAGCTGAAAGCCTAGGACTGGGGCGACAGCGCGTGTGCCCACAGAGAGGGCTCTGAGTGCCGCCTCTGGCACCAGTGCCATAGGTTCGCCAACACTGGGTTAGGCAAACTGTTTGCTTCTTTGTTTTTTTAATAGACTTGTCTTTGAGCATGCCAAAGTTTAGTGAGTGCATTTGTGCATATCTGGAGTGGCATCTTCACCTTTGCAGGAACACCATGTGCGACGTTGCCTTTGGCTCAGATCATTGAAGTAGCCTGCGGAGAGGCTGAAATGTATAGGGCTGCTGGTGTCGTAAGTCTTTTCTCTTTCTTTCTTTCTTTCTTTCCTGTTTTTGAATGTTCTCAGTTCTTCATCTTAGTTCTTCTATGGATGTGAGTGCAAAGCAGTCAAGATAACAGTGCCTGACTGATCTTGGGTGGGTTTGGAAGCTACGCAGGGCCAGCCCTAGCTAGCATCATGATTCGATTGGAAGTTATCAAAGTATCTTGAGATTCAACGGCTGAAAGGGAAGTTTAAAAATCATTCTAGGAAAGGCATTGGCAAGCCATGTTTGCAATGTTGCTAAGAATATGCACGGACGTCTTAACATGAAGTTGCTGGAAGTTGAATGTCTATGGAGATCCTCAGTCATGGTTGTCCCAAAGGTGCTTTTTCAAATGGCAACTGCACTTTTCTTTGTTTTTTCCTTGAAGTTTCTCTTCTCATCCAAGAAGCACCTTCAGTTCTCTGAAGATGAAGAATTGAAGATGCTTCTTGCATGAGAAGCAAAACATCTTTTTTAAAAAAACAACCACAGAAAGTCCAGTTGCCTTTTGAAAAAGCACCTCTGGAGTCTTTCACTTATAATAGTATTGCTGTTTATCCTGCATTCTAGTTTAACATGGTTGTAATTTGCAGACTTTGGGATGATAGTCCATAATTCCTAATATTTTCCCCCACTCTGTTCCGTTTAACATTTAGCTTTATAGGCTTTCTGGAGAACTCAAAAGCTTGCCCCCAGTTTTATCACATTTTAGTCGGTCACCATTTTGGGGTTTTTTTTTTCCTAGCCTCTTTTTTGGGATGAGGGGTGCTGAAACTGAAATAGAAAAATAACTAGGCAATAAAAAAAATATATCACATGTGCATCATGCTTTTTTTTTTTAAGAGTGTGCAGACATGACTGATGAAAGCATATCTTCAGGGTTTGTTTTTTTTAGGTGCCTCGTTTGATGCATTAGTGATTCTTTTTAAAGAGAACGTAATAAATATGGAAGATTTATAATGTTGGAGCATATAAATGAAAACAAGTGAATGCTCAGACATGATGCCATCTGTGCTGAAAAATTATAGCTGCTCTGTGCTTGTTTTGCCAAACACAATCAAAATTGCCGTGACAAGATTATATGCGGTGACAGATCCCAACGAGTTTAGAGCTCTCTCAGTTTTGCCAGTTTCTGATATTGTTGTTCTAAAAAGATGGTGGAGAGGGGGGCAGGGAAACACAGTGGCATTTTTATAGAATTATTAATATTTGTCTGTAAAATATCTGTAACTCATCATTAATGTTCCTGGAGAAGCTATAACTTCAAATGTTGGCAATGTATTGTCCCTAAGCATCTTCATGCAATCCTATTTTTTTCTTCGGAATTTACCCATTGTGTGAAGAGAAGGGATCGCTGTTAATGAAAATGGCAGCTATAATTCCAAGACCAACAGAGTTTAACCTCTTTGTGGGAAAGATAATTAATTAACTGACATAATTAAAGTTGAAGTTTTCTACAGGTAGTCCTCGACGTACGGCCACAATCGAGCCCAAAATTTACGTTGCTAAGTGAGATACTCGTTAAGTGAGTTTTGTCCCATTTTACAGCTTTTTTTTGCCACAGTTGTTAAATGAATCATTGCAGTTGTTAAGTTAGTAACACGGTTGTTAAGTGAATCTGGCTTCCCCCATTGACTTTGCTTGTCAGAAGGTTGCAAAAGGGGATCAGGTGACTCCGGGACTCTGCGACCGTCATAAATATGAATCAATTGCCAAGCATCTGAATTTTGATCACGTGACCATGGGGATGCTATAAGGGTTGTAAGTCATAAGTCACTTTTTTCAGTGATGCTGTAAGTTTGAACGGTCACTAAACAAACTGTTGCAAGTCAGGGACTATCTTCATCTTTATAAATTGTTTGTGGCTACTACTTTGCAAAAGAGGCAGCTGACGTAATTATAAGTGTTTGTGGGTTGAACTTCACTACGTTTATACATGGATTGTGTAAAGTTACATTTTTGAAGATAAGGATTACTAATGACATTTGGATCAAATATGCTGGTTTTCTGTGTTTGGGACGCAGACACTAATATATCTCACTATCCAATATTACCTTAATACCTTAAGTTTGTTTGTTAGTATTATTTTCATTTTAATAATAACGATGCTAACCTCCAAAGCTCAATTATTGAGTTCATCTATGAAAATTGGACCCTTGTATTTAATGGTACAAAAATACAGAATAACAGAATTGGAAGGAACCTTGGAGGTCTTCTAGTCCAACCTCCTGCTCAAGCAGAGACCCTATATCATTCTGGTCAAATGGTTGCCCAATCGCTTCTTAAAAACCTCCACTGATGGAGCACCCACATTTAAGAGCAGTCTTCCTTTCTCCTTAGGCTTGATTTAAAGCGGAGTAGGAAAACAGAAGATGTTCCACGCCCCATGATTCTTGACATGCTGTAGATATTTTTCCCTCCCCAGCCCTACAAAGAGACATGATTTGACTAAAAATAATTCAGGGAGCCTTCCATTAATAGTTTTCTCGTTATGCCTGAACTGGGAAAAATCTGGGAAATGCATCAGGTTCTTAAACCATGATTTGGAAGGTAGATGCCGATTCCAATTCTTTTCACCTTCTTCTGAAACCAGCAACCATCGTCCCAGTTCATACATCACGAAGAAGTATAGCTAATTGAGAACTTCAGAGGGGTTAATTATTACATGCTCGAAAGGACGAATGAGAAAAAGCAATGTGCACAGTCAGAGAGAAAAAAAACTTGTTCACATTAAGTCTTTATTAAGACCTTATTAAGTCAGGATGTGATCCTTCAAACCCAGCCAGCAAATAGGGATCTATGAGATGGTGGAAGGAAGGCTGAAAGGAACTGACTGCCTGTTTTCCATTTAGCAAGCTGTTGTGAAACATGTAGGGACAATATCTTCCTCCATCGCCTGGTTAACCTCTGTGAGTTCTCCTGCATAGAGACCTAGAAGTTTTTATATTCACACCGGCGAGAAGAATGAACAAGTAATCCAGTATCTAGCCACCCCCCTCCCCAAGTGGACGATGTGTCTCTGGGCGTGACTTTTGATAGCCAAAACAGAGTTTCCAGAGAGTTGCTTTAGGCTTCTGAGTAGACGGATACGGATAATCCTCAACTTACAGCCATTCAAAGTTACGACAAACCCTTTAAAAAAAAACTTAACAACCCAGTTCCAAAGTTTCAACAGCTGCCTCCAAACCATCCCCACAATTACACAACTGCATTTCGGGCACTCGGCAACCCAGCCTGCATTTACAACTGTTTGCCGCCTCTGTGGTCACATGATTGCAATTTAGTATTACGTTTTTTGCCAAAAAAATCAGTGTTTACTTCCACTTTTCATCCAAAAGGCCCCATAGCGTACAATGGGCTTGCTTAAAGACCGTGGCATTTACTTAACAAGCATTGATTCGCTTAATGGTTGTCAGTCAAGAATTACCTGTCCTGTCCTGTCTATGGTACTACATAGTTCTGAATTCCTTTTTTTCTTGGGCCATTGGAGAAACTCTTCTGATCTGAGTAGTGTCTTCTGCATTTATTCTCACAGGACGGCTTGATTGTTGAAAATATGCACGACCGGCCGTACACATTCGACATTGGTGCAGAGGTTACGGCAGCCATGGCGGTGATTTGTGCCTCAGTAAAACGGGCGTGTCCCACCCTCCCCATTGGGGTTCAGATAATCTGTGCTGCAAATCAGGAAGCTTTAGCTGTTGCTCTTGCGTCAGGTAAGTAAAGGAACCCAGGCTGTTTGGCAGATTACACCAAAGAAGAGCCGGTTTCTTATAGCTCGCTGGATGTTCTTGCAAAACCCTTTGTGAACTGTCCCAAAGATGTGGGGGGGGGGGTTTCCCCAAAAGGCAGCTGGACTTTGATGTTTTTTTTTCCTTTGAAAACATTTCGCTTCGCCAAGAAGTTAGAGCAACAACAAATCAGAACTGAAGAAGCTTCTTGGAGGAGAAGCGAAACGTGTTCAAAGAAAACACCAAGAAAAGTTGCCTTTTGGGGGGGAAAAAGGCACAGAATCTCCACAGACACCTTGTGTAGCCATTTGTCACAAGGGCTAGGCAACATGGGAGTACGAATGTATCCTCCACCTGCAACATCACAGTTATGTCTAAAGGTGCCGCTGCTTTAAAGAGTTGCAGACACGTGCTTCGCTTCAAAGCACCTTGTGGAGACTGAATCTTGCTCAGTCTTAATCCTGGCTGTCCAAGGGGCCATCTTAATCCCAGCACCATGTGGGTCATTAAGCAGGAAGAAGCAGGAGTCCTCAGTAAGGAGTGGGAAGGGATGGGGAGCGGGCAGGCCAAGGAGGGCCTCAGGCATGTGACAGGGAACATGGGCAGACCGGCATGGGCATGGTGTGTGTGCTGTGTCCAGATGGGCATTACAGAGCATGGATAAGGTGTGGAGTATGACATCCCTGGAATCTTGTACTCAACAGTGAGGTTCCTCGGAAGAAAAAGCGGAGGCAACTTATGGGAGTGACTTGCGACATTTCCTGCTGGCTTCCACATTGCCTTTGCTTGTGGGAAGTGGCCAGGGAAGGTTGCAAATGGTGATTACCTGTCCACAGGGATACAGTGATGACCACAATGTTGTGGACGGGTCGTAAGTCCTCCTCCTTGTTCTGCATCATCGTAATTTTGAACAATAGTTGAACGAGCAGTTGTAATTCAAAGACTACCTCTGATGTGTGTTTCATCTTTCCCACCTAGAGGGGGAAAGAGTTGGCAAATCTTAGCCAATGATGGAAACTTGTGATTTCACAAATACTGCCCGGAATATTTTTTTTACTGCGGGTTTCCTTAGAGGAGCAAGGGCTTCATGTGACTCAAATGGAGGCTGGAGGCAAAAAACATACAAGGAACGGCTGCTGGAATTGGGTATGTCTAGTTTAATGAAGAGAAGGACGAGGGGGGACATGATAGCAGCCTTCCAGTATCTCAGGGGCTGCCCCAAAGAAGAGGAAGTCAGGCTATTCAGGTTTCGCGGACTTCCGTCCTGTTCTTCGTTGCCTACCTTTGATTAGTTCCTCTCTTCGTTGGATCTTGATTCCTCTTTGAAGGACTGTCAATCTTGTTAATTGGTCACCTTGTTGGACGGAGGTCTTCACCACTTACGAGGTTGTGACCTTCAAAAATTCTTCTCTGACCTGTCGGTAAACAGGCTTTACCATATCCTTTCCTGCCTGAGCAGGGTGTTGGACTAGATGACCTCCAAGATCCCTTCCAACTTTATTATTATTATTATTATTATTATTATTATTATTATTATTATTATTATTATTTGCTTCTCATTATGGCTTTTATGGAGCAGTTGCTTGCTTCAAGCAACGTACCCAAGAGGGATGCAAACAGCATCATTTTTCATTTCCTAAACCTTTGTTTTTCCACCACTGTGGTCTTTTTTATTATTATTATTATTATTATTTTCAGCAAAAAGAAAAAAAATCCATTAAGGAGTGACAGATGGAATAGCTGCAAAGTTGTATTTATTATGGCTTCATTTGTCCTGTTTCCCCCCCTCCCTTCCTCTTCGGGAGCCCTTTTTATTTTCCAGCACAACAAAAGCAATTCACTTAAAATAATATATCAGCTTTGTCCTGAGAAAGACCCAGGTTGCAACACATTTGCTGTCTTTTGTGAAATAGATTCCATTTCAGCACCAACTCGAGAGCACCGACTTCCTCTTGGTGATTGTTTAATGCTTGTTTCCCGGCCTCTGCATTCTTCTGATGTTGGCATAATTCTTAACTTAAAAAGAAAAAAAAATCAGAGAAAAACCAACTCTTGGAGTACACAGTTCAAAGGCCTGGAATGTGCATCACCTTTCTGCTTTTCACTCCTCCCTCCCTCTTGCGCACACTTTCCTTGGTGCAGAGTTTTGTTAGCAGCAGATTTAAAGCTTGGGGTAAATAGGTCTAATCGGGACATCAACGTTATTTTCTTCTTTGTGCGTTTCACAGCTGACTGTGGATAATATTAACGTGAGTGCTATTAGTTTGTATGTATAGGTGACCAATTCCAAGTTATAAAGATTCCCCCAAAAGGTACTGATGACTCGGAGTTCTGATCCCTGCACATGTGCACGCGTGCACACACACACACACACACACCCCGGGGTCATACGACCACATTTCAACCAATTGCGGCATTCCACAGTCACATCACTATGATTTATGTGTTCCATAGGAATACATTGCTTTGATTAACGACCCCAGCGTTTGCTTATTGACTGCTGTGTTCACTTAATGACTGCCCCAGGGAAAAAAAAATCCCTCATAAAATTGGTGTTCGGTCACTTCGGACTGAAATTCCAGGCTCCGTTACAGCCCTAAATTGAGGGCTGCCTATACTTTTGACATAGGTGTGCATATTCTGTGTTTGGATCTTCGGATGTGTGAAACTCATCGCCATCCATCTCCATTCAGATTTTTAAACCAACAAGCAGTGATGTTGGCATGTGGAAGACACCGCATTTTGAGATCTTTCTGAGGCTCTCCTGCCATACCCCCATTAACAATTTCTTTATACTTCTCCATGACCGATATCTATTGATGGCTTTCTTCCATTTAGTTCAATCAAACGGTACAAGGGATTAATTTTAAGTCATTGTGATTGCTCATCTAATGCAAGTTAGACCTCGGGATATGACCGTCATCTACTGTAATGAACTATTATATTTCTGTCAAATTAATGAAATCCTCTTAAGGATAAATTAACCTGAATTTAATGAAAGTGTCAGTGTAGGCCAGTGGATGGTCTGTTTCTCTGTCTGTCTGTCTGTCTGTCTGTCTATTATCTATCTATCAAACACAAGACATTTATGAGCTAAGGAGAATAGGACAAGAAAATCCTCCTGATTACGTTACCTTAGTTTGGTAACGAAATGTTCAGAAATTATATTATAACAAGCTTGGAGAACCACAGCCAAAATCTAAAATCCGAGCCAGAAGTATTTTTTATTATTTAAAAATTATCTATCTATCTATCTATCTATCTATCTATCTATCTATCTATCTATCTATCTATCTATCTATCTATCTATCTATCTATCTATCTATCTAATCTATCTAATCTACCTACCTACCTACCCATCCACCCACCCACCCACCCACCTACCTACCTACCTACCTACCTACCTACCTACCTACCTACCTATCTATCTATCTATCTATCTATCTATCTATCTATCTATCTATCTATCTATCTATCTATCTATCTATCATCTAGAATAAGGGTCCCCAACCCCCGGTCCGTGGACCGGTACTGGGCCGCGGCATGCCAGCAACCAGTCCGCACAAACAAGCAAGCCCCATCCGTGGGATGCAGGCAGCACACAAAACCACACATTCTTCGGTCCACAGAAAAACCTTTCTCCATAGAACCAGTCCCTGGTGCCCAAAAGGTTGTTGACCTCTGATCTAGAACATTTATATGGCTGCCTGCTCACTTTCGTTGACTCTGTGCAGCTTACAAAAAATAACCCCAATATACAACAATAAAAACAATCACTCCCCTCCCGATTGGCAACAGCAGTCAGTCAAGCAAGCCACTCAATGAGCTCCATCCCACTCCAGGTTCCCCAGGCCCGTTGGCAAAACTAGATCTTTGGGGGTCTTACGAAAGAGTGCAGTCTAATCTCTATGAGGATGATGTTCCAAAGGGAGGGAGCCACCACAGAGAAGGTCTTTCTGGGTCCCACCAAATGTACCTCCTTAGGGGAGGAGATCCCTGCTTCTTCGCTCTGATGGGTTGGGTGGATCTAACTGGAGAGACAGCCCTTCAGATAACAGCATCCATCTTGCAATTGTGTGATATCGGGGTTATAACCTGATTTAAACTGTGCAGTGAGGTGGGCTTTGGTCCCGATAGACATTTTAGCCTTTGTGTCTTTGTAAAAGGGGAAGAATAAATCACCACTCTTTTTCACAGGATTGCTGTAGGGCTGATGAAAACCTGTTAGGTTTAGCACTTCGGAAAATGTGCATTTGAAGGAAGCAGTAAGGCATCTTTTGTCGAACCAATAATTAGACTTTAATTTGCTTTTGGTTGTATTTCAAACAGAAAGGATGATTGCATATTTTAACCAAGTCAACTTTCTTTATGGCTGGAGCATTAATAATCAAAAAATTCTACCCACAGAGCCTTGGCTGTGCTTGGCTGGCACAGTGAATTAAAATTTAAGCATTTCATTTGTACGGTATATGGTGTATGTATAAAAGATGATTAATACTGAGGACATATATTACTTTTATACATTTTTTTAATGTATCTTGATGTTGACTGTGACGGATGAATTGTCTATTATACCTAACATCTGTTCCCTAGCTTTGGCACTACTTTCCCTATTATATTTTGTTTTCAGAAACGATAATGCCGTTTTTTTCCCCCCTTTTAGTGTTGCAGATGACTGCGTTGGTTTACTTAAACAATTAGGCACTTCAGTCAATAAGCAGAATGGATTAGGCAGCAGAGATGTCTTCATATTAAAATGCACTTTATAACTTAGCTGTTTTGTTTTCTCTAATATTCTTTCTATAATTTTTAAAAAGACTTTAAAAGCAAATGCTTTTTTTTTAACCTAGGGATGGCTCTTCATATTCATTTGAATTAAGGTGATTTTTCTCCACGTGTGTGCAATTTCTAGAACAGTAGTCCTTGACTTACAACAGTTTATTTAGTTACAACGGCACTGAAAATAAGTTTTTGACACTTATGACCGCTGCAGCATCCCCGTGGTCATGTGATCAAAATTCAGACTCTTGGCAACCGACTCATATTTATGATGGTTGCAGCATCCCAGAGTCACGTGATCCCCTTTTGCGACCTTTTGACAAGCAAAGTCAATAGGGGAAGTCGGATTCACTTAACAACCGTGGGATTAACTTAACAACTGCAGTGATTCACTTGGCAATTATGGCAAGAAGGGTCATGAAATGGAGTACAACTCACTTAACAAATGTCTCACTTGGCAACCGTAATATTGCGGTTGTAAGTTAAGGACTTCCTGCTGGGGAAGAGTAGGAATAGGAATAAAGAAATGAAGAAGCTCATAAGGATGGACGGCTTTTATAAAATTTACTGCACTAGCAAGCAATTTGAGAGACGACAGATTTCTGCCATCTATTCTCTTTCTTGATTTGAGAGATTTCTATGTTGTTAGTTGCGAAGTCGTGTCCGACCCATCGCGACCCCGTGGACAACGTTCCTCCAGGCCTTCCTGTCCTCTACCATCTTCTGGAGTCCATTGAAGCTCACGCCTCCTGCTTCAGTGACTCCATCCAGCCACCTCATTCTCTGTCATCCCCTTCTTCTCTTGCCCTCAATCTTTCCCAGCATTAGGCTCTTCTCCAGTGAGTCCTTCCTTCTCATTAGGTGGCCAAAGTACTTGAGTTTCAACTTCAGGATCTGGCCTTCTAAAGAGCAGTCAGGGTTGATCTCCTCCAGGACTGACCGGTTTGATCGCCTTGCAGTCCAGGGGACTCGCAGGAGTCTTCTCCAGCACCAGAGTTCAAAGGCCTCCATTCTTTGTCGCTCAGCCTTTCTTATGGTCCAACTATATTTCTATAGAGCAGAATAATTTTTCTTTTTAACGCCAAGTGTTACGTATTTCGCCAGCTTAACCGGAAGTGTGTTTCCTCCTGTTTTTTCCTTGTTTCTGAGTAGGAACACGCTGAGTCTTTCGCTTGGGTCTGGAACCGTTTGCCAAGCTTTCTTCCCAACTGATTCATTATTAACAGGTGTACCATGTGTTTTTTAGCAGTGCATAATTTCCTGCGCAGAGTTCCTGATTTAATTAACCACATCAATTTGAGGCTGCATAGAATGGTGTGTATGATTGACTTGCAGAAGATTTCCGGCATCGGTAAAGATACAGATATAAATCTCTTCTACTCCATAGCTATTATTTTGATTATTTTCTTGATAATGCTCAGAAGCACTCCCATCATATTTCTAGAAACATGTCGGATCTTCTGCCTTCTCCTTCACCTTCTTCTCTTCTCTTCTCTGTTTCTTTCCTATCCGAGTTTGTAATTGAAAAATTAGACCACATAACATTAAAGTCATAAACTAATACTTGTATCCTGCTCTTCTAATGTTCTGCAGCTGGCAATCTAGTTTATAGAGTTGCTGCATTGTGATCATCTTGTAAAGTCACTGGTTTCATTTCATCTTAATTTAGTACTGCTGTTTCCTTGGAGAGCCAGTTTGGTGTACAGATAGTCTTTCACTTACGAACAGGATAGGATAGGATAGGATAGGATAGGATAGGATAGGATAGGATAGAATAGAATAGAATAGAATAGAATAGAATAGAATAGAATAGAATAGAATAGAATAGAATAGAATAGAATTATTGGCAAGTGTGATTGGATACAGAAGGACTTTGTCTCCAGTGTATAAGCTCTCAGTGTACATATAAATAACAAAGTAATATAATCTAGAATAGAATAGAGTAGAGTAGAGTAGAGTAGAGTAGAGTAGAGTAGAGTAGAGTAGAATATAGAATAGAATAGAATAGAATAGAATAGAATAGAATAGAATAGAATAGAATAGAATAGAATAGAATAGAGGAGTTGGAAGGGACCTTGGAGGTCTTCTAGTCCAACCCCCTGCTCGGGCAGGAAACCCTATACCATTTCAGACAAATGGTTGTCCAATCTCTTCTTAAAAACATCTGGAGGCAGGTTGTTCCACTGATAAATTGTTATGTCAGGAAACTTCTCCTTATTTCTAGGTTGGTTCTCTCCTTGATTAGTTTCCATCCATCCAATCAGGATCAGAATTTTGGTCGCTAAACAATGTGGTTGTTAAGTGAATCTCTTGTTTCATTGTCAACTCTTGAGTTTCTATCCTAGAAACACAGCCTGGTCCCATTTATGTTGCAAAGTTGTTCCTTTGGGGGGGTGTTCTTTTAAAATTATATGCAGAATTGTGGGGTTAACCAGATGCTAAAGTTAAAATAAACTTAGGTGCAGAAGGAAAAGAAGAGAAAAGATTGAACTGACATTTTATTCCCGCAACATCTTTATCTGTGTTTAGCTTGCTAAACACCCCATTGGTCTTTCTAATGTAACCTATTTTGTTTTGGGCATCATCTGGGAAACGTAATTAGACATAATTGAGGACCAAGCAGAATTAATTAGCTTTATCAACAGCACTGATTATTTATTTGTTTATCGCTATTTCTAGGTGCGGATTTTGTTCGAGTTGAGGGCTTCGTTTTCTCTCATGTGGCTGATGAAGGGATTCTGAATGCTTGTGCTGGGAACTTGCTAAGATACCGCAAGCAAATTGGAGCTGAACACATCCAGGTTTTTGCTGATATTAAAAAGAAGCATAGGTAAATGGGATCCCTTCTGGGGAAAAAATATGCTTGATACTGCATTCCAACTGGTGTGGCTTTAATTTTTAAAGTCTTTTGAATTTTCATTTTTATTATTTTATCATTTCTGTTATGGGCAGTAACCCATCATCTTAGTGAGCAAAGTATAACTAATTCAATAAATGAATATTTATGTGGCCACAAGAGCCACTTAAGAAGTTCACCTAAGTAATAATTATTAGCTTCTTATTATATAGAGCATAGAATAATAGGGTTGGAAGGGATTTTGGAGGTCTTCTAGTCCAACCCCGTGCTCAAACAGGAGGCCTTATTCCATTCTGGAAGCAAGTTGTTCCATTGACTAATTGTTCTCACTGTCAGGAAATTTCTCCTTAGTTCTAGATCTCTCTTTAATGATCTTAGTTCTAGATCTATCTTTAATGATCTTCCACATGTTATTTCTTGTCCTGCCCTCAGGTGCTTTGGAGAATAGGTTTATCCCATCTTCTCTGTGATAGCCCCTCAAGTTTTGGAAGACAGCTATCTTGTCACCCTTGGTCCTTCTCTTTGTTAGACTAGACCAGGGGTCTTCAAACTTGGCCCTTCAGTGTGCCTGGCTGAAGAATTCTGGGAGTTGAAGTCCACAAGTCATAAAAGGGCCAGGTTTGAAGATCCCTGGACTAGACATACCTAGTTCCCGCAACCATTTAGCCTCCAGACCTCCTTATCATCTTTGTTGCTCTTCTCTGCATTCTTTCTAGGGTCTCAGCATCTTTTTTGTATCACGGTGACCTTCTTGTTTCCATGCGCATCATTCACAAATGACAAAATTCCTATTTACCAAGTGAATCTTCATGCAGGATATAGTGGCGAAGGACGTTGATTAAAGAAACTCTGGGAGAGTTTGAAACAAAGAGGAATGCCCTTGCATTCTTACAGGTGAATACAGGAACAATGTCCTTGTTTTTTGACCACATCGTTTTCCCAGGCTGATAAATTGAAAGAACAGCTGCTACAAATCCAGCAATGGAGGTCACTGTTACAGTATTTATACAGGGCATTAAGCTACAGCATGACTTATTCATCTTTGGCTTGGAGTATTGCATAAATTGGTCACGATACACTATATACACATCAGTAGATGATGTAGTGCAACATATGATTTGAACCAGTTGAACTGTTGCTTTGTGCAATATAGAAATCCAGCGATCACTGTCATCATCATCATGATAATAATTTTATCCCTCCATTGATTAGATAAATAGTCTGACCCAGTTTGATGTAGTGGTTGAGGCATCAGGCTAGAAACTGGGAGATCATGAGTTCTAGTGCCACGTAGCGTTACCTAACCACTTGTGAAAAACCTTGCTTAGAAAATTGCAAGGATTTGTCCTGGAAGTCTCCATGAATCTGAAACAATTGAAGAGATGACAGAGAGATGGAGAGAGTGGTAATAATAATAATAATAATAATAATAATAATAATAATAATAATAATAATGATGATGATGATGATGATGATGATGATGATGATGATGATGATGATGATGATGATGATGATGATGATAAAGTTGGAAGGGGTCTTGGAGATCATCTAGTCCAACCCCCTGCCCAGGCAGGAAACCCTACACCATTTCAGACAAATGGCTGTCCACTTTCTTCTTAAAAACTTTCAATGTTGGAGCATTCACCACTTCTGGAGGCAGGTTGTTCCACTGGTTAATTGTTCTAACTGTCAGGAAGTTTCTCGTTAGTTCTAGGTTGCTTCTCTCCTTGATCAGTTTCCATCCGTTGCTTCTTGTCCTGCATTCAGGCGCTTTGGAGAATAGCTTGACTCCCTCTTCTTTGGGGCAGTCCCTGAGATATCGGAACACTGCTATCATGTCCCCCCTCATCCTTCTCTTCGTTAAACTAGACATACCGAATTCCAGCAGCCGTTCCTTATATGTTTTAGCCTCCAGTCCCCTAATCATCTTTGTTGCTCTTCTCTGTACTCTTGCTAGAGTCTGTCTATATATCTCTAAGCAGCAAATATATCTAATATTCCTGCCTCCTACATTCACAAACTCAACTCTGTGAAGTGGATTGGGAAGAGAGAGAGGGACTGGCCCACAGTCATCCAGCCATTTTTCATACCTGAGGGAGGTCTACAATTCACCGTCTCCTGGTTTCTAGGCCAGCACCTTCTGGCTATCTATGTTTTGGCATTGCCAATCTCATACAAATGCCATTATACGTCCCTGATTTATGAAGTCAAGAAGATTATGGGGAATTAGTATAAAAACAGGTCTAATGTGTAAAGTGGCCGCTGACAAGTTTACAAAGGTTGTATCCTTGTTCTCCCCAGTGCTCATGCGTTAACTGCTGACGTCACAGTGGCAGAAACTGCGAAGGCTGCCGAATTTTTTCTTGCTGATGGGGTTGTGTTGACTGGAACTGCAACTGGATTGGAGGCAGATCCCAACGAACTAGAAGGTAAGAACAGTAAAGGCTACATGGGGGGATTCCATTGCTTTGTTGGTTATTTATATGTAAGGACATTTATATATC